TTTTATACAAACTTTTTACTGAATAGAGTGTTAGAGATTTTAAATTCCAAATCCCTCATCTTAGAGCTGAGACAATGAAGCCCAGAAAGGTTAAATGACTTGTCCACTGTCTAAGTGGAAGAGATGCATTAAAATAAAGTTTTTCTGATTCTTGCCTCACATTTTCCATATAAGACATACCTCCACGATTTTCCATGAAATTAAATAATATGGAAGCATATGGATAGAACAAATAAGTAATTTGTCCTTTAAACATAAGAAAATAGTAAATACACTACTTAGATGTTGAAAAAAATGAATAATTCCCATGCAAAATATACTAAGTAGATTTAACTAATCAACACAGATTTTGTGTTTGTCTCATAAATGCTTAAATTCTTGTTGAAAAATGACATGGTTTATATGTCATATATTTATGGTTATATATGTGCAGCAAACAGATTCCTGTTTTCTCACAGTGTTAATTACTTACTTTCTTCTGCCTTGTTTATATTATTTATGTTATCTGGAGTAGTCTTCACTAGTACCACCTTAATACATGACATAATGAGGTTATCAGTTTAGCTAACTTCAACAATGGTACAAAAGGAGGGCAGACCCTCAGAAAGCCCCATAGTAGAGACTCCTGGTCATCTACGTGGTCAGCCACTTGGATTATTATGGCTTCTGAATATGAGAGCAATACTTAAAAGAAGAATTTGGGTCCACAAAATAAAAGCCAGGCTCATATAACCCACTTTCAATTTGAAATCAGTACCAAAAACAAACAAACAAACAAACAAACAAACAAAAAGCATTATTCAATGAAAGAACAAAAGAGAATGCTTACCAAGACTTTTAGATTGGTGAAACAACTCAGTTCACCACAACAATATTCACAATTTTGCCCAAGAACAGCTCTCATTGCTAAGTTACGTTAGCACATTATGGGCTCTCACCTCTCAATATCATGGGCTTTCATAATTTAGCTAAGAAATAAAGTTCTTTGTTCTCAAGAAAGGTAGGAAATAGATCTCCTGAGACCCAGTTTGTAACTTAATCTGGCCAACCCGTCCATTCTTACAGGTAGCCAGAGCAAGCCAATTTTCACTGTCATTATTCTGTGGGCCCAGAAGAGTGGGGAGACCAATGGAAGTTAGAAACAGCTATCCTTGGGTGACATCAGGAGCTAAAACAAATCTCAGCCTTCCAAGGAGGATAGGTATGCCAGGGCTGCTCATACAAAACAATTATGAAGTGTCTACAAAGATGAAACTTCCTGATGATTCGAAGAGTACTTACTCTTCTCAAAAGTGCCCAATAGTTGGTGTTTTAAATAATCCCAAATCATCAGGATGATTAGCCTTCCTTCTTATGACATCCCTTTAAGAAATTTTAGATGTGTTTAAATCTTCTATTTACTTTAACACTTTCATCTATTCTTGATATGTAATTATAGAAAACTTTTCCATTTCAGAAACTTCTATGTATTGAACACTCTTGTACATACTGTCAATATAAAGAAAAATAGAATACACTAGCCCACAGGACAATATCTGCCAGATGAGCTGCAACTCTTTAGTGCATTCTCTTTAATGTAGTGAATGAATGACCGCATAAGGCAGGGTAGGCTCTTATAAGCAAATGATGTTCATTACTATGTGAGAACACAATTAGAAACACTTGCTACTAATAACATGAATATACTCTTCTGTTGCACAATGTCTTTTTAACACATTTGAAATTCTCAAATTAAAACTCCTCCAGTGTTTTAAATAAAGTCTGATGTGTCTGGGTGACTTTTAGCAAATGCATTAGCCTGATTTTCTCCAGCATACATACTATCTTCAGCAAACAGTCATCTATCAATATTTGCATAATATGCTAAATGCTGAATAGATGTTAAAAACCTATAAAAGGGGCTCTTTGAGATAAATAAAAGTCATGGATCAGAAAATTGCTATTCTCTACTGTCTCAATTGAGGCTGAACCTTAAAATTAACATCTTCATAAAGTTATGAAAGACCCACATTTTGGTGCTAGTCTTGACTGACTTTGGACTGTAAGTGAATGGAGTTATTTCTGAAATGATATTATTAAGTATCATCAGGGACAGGGTAAAGTTGAAGAAATGCCTAAGTATTTAATTAGTATTCAAAATGCCCAAAACGATTTCATGATATCCAAATAAAATGAGTATTTGTATATTTACTTCCTTGAAGCAGTGTTAAACCTATAAAACATTAAACATAGAAGTGTATATAATGAATGGGTGTGAGAAAGCAAGTATTAAACTTAAGTAGTTTAAATCAATAAAGCATTTCCCTGGAAAGAGTAAACAATAAGTGACTGGGCGTTAGTACAAAAGTGGAGAAAATGGGCAGACAAAAGCTTCTTGTTTAATTGTTTATAAATTGTTGTTCAGAGTTCAGAGACAAACAAAATTCTCTATGCTCAAATTATGGAGTTTATCCCGAGTATGCAGGCTCTTCCGCTCAGCAACACTGATAAGGACACTAATAGTTTAATTACTACTTGCTGCTCAAGGAGATAAACAAAGCTGTCTGCTTTTTAAACCAGGGGTTACAATTACTTCTAAACGCCGGGGACAGGCACATCTGCAAGTAGATCTTACTATGTCAGGAAAGCCACCATAAACCAGCTGGAAAATAAAGCCTTAGGAGTGAGCAGCCGGTGCAGAATTAGAGCAAAACCGCTTGATTTGAGCAGTGGAGCAGTAGGCGTGAGGCATAGTAAACAAGCGACAAACATTAAGTGGTCAGGGATAGAAAAGTTTTCGGTGGCCAGATCTTCCGCATTTTTCAGGGGATTCCATCGCAGACTGGGCACCCCTCCCTCCGCAGTCAAGCTTACAGTAACATCTCTGTCACAAAGTCCTCTTCAGCACCACCGAGGAAGGACAGCTCCCCTAAAGGAAGAACAGCTCCAGCAGCGACTGCCCTCCCTCCTTTAGTACCCTCTCGACTGCATTTCTCTTCCTTCTGGACACTTTGCCTTTAGCGGTGTTCTAAGGGACATATGGAAAGGACTTGGAGCTTGTTTGGCTTTTTTTTCTCCTGGTAAAAGGAAGACACATCCTTTCAGAAAAGTTTGTTCTTTTAATTGGCCTCCAGAGCAATTTAACCAGAATAAAAGACTGCAAGTCACTGCGTTTAATCTGGTAGCAAAATAGTTCAATGTATGTCAGTAGTAACTGAAACTTGAAACTCTTTTTAGTGTTTTATTTTATTGTTTTGTTGTAAAGGACTAGTAGGAGGTAAACAGCCTTCACTTACTGCTGCTTTAACCCCTTTCCTCCTGTGTTAGCCAAAGACACCAAGGGGATATACCAGAGTATCATTTTATAGCAAAGGAGTCACCGGAGTAAGTCCTAATGTCACTGAGTCCCCTGAAGGAAACTCTTCCCAGTCCTTTTCAAGACCTCACAACTGTATCTTGAGTCTGGAACATACAAGGAGAGGATTCACAGTTCCACAGTGGGGCCATCAGCTGCTACAGCATACCACTAAAACTGCCAAAGCTTCCCCCAATGAAGTCCTCTTTCCCCCAGCCCCAAATCCAGAGGCAAACATTTCAGGAGTGACAAGGAAACATATGATTGGAAAATCAAAATCACCAAGACAAAAAAACTACACGTTAAGGAACTTGGCTATGCTGGTGCTCCCAGCTGCCATCCTTGCAGTCATAAAGATGTGGTTGCTTGGTGAGCACACCTTGTCTCTCTCTGCAGAGTTCTTCTTTTTTGTCCAAACTTCTCAATAGTGTGTAAAATACTCATAATTTAAAAATTCAAACACTTTGTTTGATTCAGTTCTATTTTCAAGGGTTTAGTTGCCTGGAGGGAAAAGCTATCATCTGGTTTTTGAACTTACTTCGAAGGAAGGTCTTCAGGTAAATGCCCTTACTCCTTTTGCATTGGAGTTGCTAGAATACTAAGGGATTCCAGGAAGGAAGACACAGCGAGAGTGGGAGTTTAGGAGTCATTAAGAAAAGGCAGCACTCTGAAGTTAGTGGTGAACAACTTCTTCCCAGTCATAGTGATCACCTACCAGCAATGGAGAGGTGGGTGAGGTCTGCCTGTGACTCTGACGGGGGCAACGGTGGGGACAGCAGACCTGGGTGCTTCTCAGGTAACCTGAGAGATCACAACTGAACAATCTGACTCTGAATTCCATAGTCCTCTCTATTTTCCTTCCTTCCTTCCTTCCTTCCTTCCTTCCTTCCTTCCTTCCTTCCTTCCTTCCTTCCTTCCTTCCTTCCTTCCTTCCTTCCTTCCTTCCTTCCTTCCCTCCCTTCTTCTTTATCTTCCTGTTTTCTTCCTTTTCTCCTTCCACCCCTCCCTCTTCTACCTCAGTTACCCTTTTCACTTAATTCCACTGAGTCACTTTGGGCACCAGTTCCAGAGACACCAGCAAATCACCTAATGTATCCTATAGACCACATTATTACTATTATGAATGGTTGCTTGCCAACTGCTTGGTGCAAGGAAAAGGTCCTGTTTCCAGCTACCAACCCCACCCCTCTCCTCACTCCAACACCACAGCCGAGTAGCAACCCGGCAAAATCACCAGAGTCTGAATGTCACCAACAAGTTCCACCCACCCTGTAGTAGCCCCGCCAGCGAGCCCCGCCAGCTGAGCCCACAGCCCGCGCACCCGCATCCTGACCCAGCTCCTAGTTATTCCTATGGTCATTGTTACCGGTGACAACGCTCTCCCTTCACGGGAGAGGAAAGCCCGCGGGTGACTCCCGGGCGAATGTAGGTCTCCGCGCACTACCCTTCCCCACTTCCGCAGCGCGCGCACACTCACACACCCTCTTCAACCAGCGACACAAAGAGAGCGAGTGAGCGAGCCGGCGCGGGGCCGGGCGGCAGAGGGCGGGGGCGGGGGGCACCGGCAGGAGAGGGAGCCCCGAGGGGGGCAGGGGCTGAGCCCGGCGCCCAGGAAAGGCGGAGAGCGAGCGCGGCGGGGAGAGAGCAGCCAGAAGGTCGTCCTTACCTGCCCCCAGGTTAAAGGAAATCCTGGCCTCGGCGAGGTACGGCGTGTCGCTCTTGGAGCGGACTCTCCTGATGGGCCGCCGGTCTATGTCATCCTCCGAAGATGCCGCCATTAATGTGGGAGGCAGGAGCAGGGTCGCCCGGCGAGCTGAGAGGGAGAAGGAGATGGAGAGAGAGGGAGACAGGCGGAAAAGGGGAGGAGGGGAAAGGAAGAGGCTCACACACATGGGAAGGGGGAGGGGAAAGGGGGATGGGAAAGGAAGGGAAAGGGGATGGGGAGGAAGGGGGAAAAGAGAGGGAAAAAGGAAGAAGGAGAGAGAAAGAGAGCAAAGGAGAGAAAGGGGTGAAAGGAGAGAAAGAAAATCCGTTAAGGATTTGTGGACTGGAGCAGAGATCCGGCAGGCTATCTCTGGCTGGCTCCCAGGGCTCCCCCTAACTCCTCTCCGGGCCAGGACCCAGGAGAGAGTGCTCCGGACCGACACCCTGCCTCCTGCCCGGAGCCCAGTTCCCAGCTCTTGGCACAGATAGGCTACTGCGAAAGAGAGGACTCCAGGGTAAAGATGCTCAGTCAGCACTGTGTCCTCTCCCGCCAAATGCACTTACTCTGCTCTTCAAGTATACACTGGGGTCTCCTTAACCCACAGGAGTCTCCAGTCCAGCCAGATGTACCCGCCTCAGCTTTCCTTGTGTGGAATTATTACTCCCAGGGCGTAAGCCCAGGCCCCGTTGGCCATGGAGGAGAGCACTGCACCCAGGGTATCCCTCTGCTCCCTCTTCCCCAACCCAGAGCTCAAATAGAGATGGAGCCAGATCAGGAAATTCTCAGAAGCTCTCTTACCAGCCCCCTTGAACCCTGGAGATAGAGGACAGAGGAAAAGTGTGTACAACTTAAAGAGAAGTTTGGCAGTCAAGTTTCTAGAGTTGGTGTTTTGAATGTAGAGTAGGCATATTCACACAGAATTGAGTGGGTCTCTTTTACAACCCCTAAGGTCTATGATGTGTTTACCTTTACACAAATATCCATTCATCGAACTTTCTACTTTCTCTTTATTTGGTGAATTAGAGCACAGGTAATAGACCTGGGGTTGGACTTGTGGTCTTTAAAACTCTGTACCATTGTTTCTGAAGGATAGGTGAAGATCAAGGGCATGTTACATTCCTTTGAATGTTTGCACTGCTACATTCACATGTTACCCAGCAGAAGGACCCAGAAAGGTTTCTGGAGTGTGAATCAGAATGGTTTGATGCTCCTACTGAAGCTATTGATGGGCTCAACTCTTTTATGTTTGTCTTTCTGAAGCTTCAGTCATTTGGTGTTTTTGTGGCCTGGTCCTCTTTTGAAGAAGAGCCCACCTGGAGTACACAGGTTAACGTTGCCCCAGTACCTCCCTGCTACAAAGGAAACCTCAGTGCCAAGTCATGCCCTTCGGGTGCAGAGCAGGAAGTGCTGCTCTGACCCTGCAAGACTTCCCTCTCCACTGCGGCTGTCAGTTCTAACTCTCATCTTGTATTCTTGCCCCTACAATCTCCAGTCTCTCTTCTTTGGTCTCTTACTTCCCACATAGGTAGTAACTCTTCATCTTAGGAAAAATACGTCTGCCCTTCTTACTGCTTCCTCAATCTCTATCCCATTTCCTTCCATTCCATTGAACTTTCCTTTGGAACTCTTGGCCCCACAGGCTCCATTTTTTTTCACTCTTAATCCCCTCCTTTCATAGTTACAACCGGTTTCTATTCCTGCCTCTCAATCAAAGTTATTTTAAAGGTCATTAACAGCCTTCTAACAGTTAAATCCACTTCTGTCTTGGCCTCTTTAAAGTATGTAGTAGTCTGTCCTTCTTGAAATAATCCCCTTCGGCCTTTCCTTACTAGACTAACTCCCTAAGCACTTGATTTCTAATTATTAGCCAATTCTCTGTGTGTTCATCTGAAATTGCTTATCCTGGCATTCTAGGCCCTTCACAATCTGATCTCATCCTGTCTTTCCAAATCTGTCTGTATTTACCTCCAGGCTGCTTGCAGTTGTCTTAACAAGTCTGGCTCATTTGTGCATTTGCACCTTTGCTTATGTTGTGCACCACACATGTCTTTCCTATAAATTTTCCATGTTCTCCCTCAGGAATGTGAGGTAACTGGCCCAGTAGTATATGGCAGAACCCAGTATATAGTAAATGCTCAACAGAAATTTTTGAATAAAAGAAGGGTGAAAACAGAAAGAGGAGGGGAAGAATAAAGCAGAGAAGAGAAAAAAAAATGAGTGAAGGAAGGTTATATAACTAAAGAGTAGCTGAACTGGGGACCAAATCCATGTCTGTTTGATTTTTTTAAAAACCCACAAAAAACTGTGTCTTTAGCCAGTATATTGATTTGCTAAGTATCTATATTTGGTTTTTCTAACCACATTTTAAATTCACTTTTCTATGACACTTGCCTCATTATTATGCCCCATTTATCTCTGTTAAACATAGATTAAAAGTGGATCCCTCTTATCCCAGGAGACACACCAGGGGCATTTGCTCATCAAATGAACCATGACTAATCAGGTTGCAAACCAATATTATGATTGTTATATTTAGGTTTAGGCTTTTAAGGAAGCACAAAAGAAAGAAAGAAATGCAAACAATTCTGAATACTGTATAATCCATTCCTTTCTTTGAATTAATGCAGTGCTATTTTATTGTTTAAAATGTTTGGGATTCCCCACCCCCCTCACCCCTGTCTGTTCATTCATTAGTCATGCCTCTAAAATAAATAAAGTCATTTGAAGGAATATCTCACCTTAGCTTTCCCTATGTTCCTTCGATTTAACATATTAATGATTCTTGATATAGAGAAGCACATCTTTGTATTTCTGTTTCTTATTCATTCAATATTTTAGAGGATTAGGAACTTTTTTTAGAAATAATTTTTCTTTATTGATTTTAGAGAGAAAAGAAGGGAGGGGGAGAGAGATAGAAACATCAATGAGAGAGAACATTGATTGGCTTCCACCTGTGCGTTCCCCATTAGGGATAGGACCCACAAACTGGGGATGTGCCCTGACCAGGAATCGAACTGGTAACCTGTTAGTGCATGGGCCAATGCTCAACCAACTGAGCCACACTGGCCAGGGGAGAATTAGGAACTTAATATCATCACTACTGCTTTAGGTTTACCTTTGTTAAAGGAGTTTAAATGCACTTTTATATTATTTCTTTATGGACTATTTTATATTGATATAATTCTAGAGAGAGACACTTTTACAAAAACAACATAAAATACTACATCTGTCTTCATGTTCATATTTTATCTTATTTTTCACTTTTACTATAATCTTCCATTTTTTGGCTTTCCTAATTTTCTGTCTCCTTTGTCTCATCTAATTTTTCCCATTCTCTTTTCACTTTGCCTCTCTTTTGTCACATCTTTCTTAGTTCTTTCTAACAATTTCTTTTCAAAATCAGCCCCATTTCATTGATCACCCTCCATATGAAGGATTTACCTTTGTGGGCTTGTCCCAATGTTTCCACATTTTTCATCTGCTGGAATTTCTTTCATCTACATAACCTTTCATCATAAAATATCTGAGTGACATGAGGGAAGGGCCCTGGGTGGGAATCAGGGGTGGTGGGTGCTGTACTACCACCACCAGCAATTAACACTGGACAAGCCAGCCACTCACTCTACCAGGATGGGTCTCAGTCACCTAAGCTATAAAAGCGCAAACGTCAGAGAAGTGATCTTAAGACCCTACCTAGTTCTAATACTCCATGAATATTTGCAGCTATTCTTGTATCTCTACTCTGTCTATCAGTGTCCATGGCATATTTTCTCTCTTAATCTAAGAGAATACACTGTTCCTGACTGGCCAGCGTGGCTCGGTTGGTTGTGCATCGTCCCATGCACCAAGAGGTAGCCAGTTGGATTTCTGGTCAGTGCACATGCTTGGGTTGCTGGCTCCATTCTCAGTAGGGGGCATGCAGGAGGCAGCCAATTGACGTTTCTCTCTCATTGATGTTCTATCTCTCTCTCTTCCTCTCTCTGTCTAAAAAAACCCAATAAAAACATTTTTTTTCTTTATTTAGTTTTAGAGAGAGAGACAAAGGGAGAGGGAGAATGAGATAGAAACATTGATGAGAGAGAACATTGATTGGCCGCCTCCTGCATGCCCCCACTAGGGGTTTGGCCCACATGTGGGCATGTGCCCTGACCAGGAGTCGAACCGGTGACCTGGGTTGTTGCTCAACCACTGAGCCACACTGGCAAGGCAGGAAAAACATATTTTAAGAAAGAAAATATACCGTTCCTTTCATTTTTACCTAACCACATTTAGGAAACCACATAGTATCCATACTTCTTTCAAGTAATTTCATATCGTTCAAGTCTATTTTAGATAATGGTGCATCCTTTAGAATCTATTTTTTCTCATATTATTTCTATTATGATACAACATAAATAGGATTGTTTGTGTGTGTACATGTGTGAATGTGAGTGTGTGTATAGAAAGAGTTGAATTCAACTGTGACCACAACAACTTCAAATTTTAGGGTTTTTTAAATTTTAAAGATTGCTTCTTTTTCAATATGATTGCTGACTCAAGGGTTGTTTTATTCTTTTCTTTTATAAAGCTAGTCAACGTCTTAACACTGAAGACCCTTACATTTATGTTATATCCAGAGCAGCTATAGACAGAGAAAAAAGATAAGGTATTAGGAGAGTGGAAAGGCAAATGATAAGGAGAAGATACTTTCAATTTTACACATGACAAAGGACTTGTAACCACAATAATAGAAAACTGGTAAAACAATAATGAAAAGACAGACAACTCATCTTGGTTTTGTGTGTTGTGTTTTTTTTTTTAAGACTTGAATAGGCAGTTCAAAAAAGTAGATATCCAAATGTTCAAGAAGTATCAGAAAAGATGTTTAGCATCATTACTTAAAGGTAAATTCAATTAGAAACCTCAGCGAGATATTATTACACAGCGCCAATCTGACTAAAACTTAAAATTCATTCAATGCCAAGCACTGGTGAAGAGGGGGAGGAGCTGAGGCTCTGATGCATTGCTGGTGGGAACATAAACTTGTAAAACTCCTCTGGAAAACATTTTATGCAAATGTATATATAAACATAGGTGACACACATAAACCCTATGACATGGATAAGCAC